ATATATATATATATATATATATATATATATATATATATATATATATATATACATATACGGTATTATCTTTTTCCCATTCACCAACTGCATAGCGTTATTTCTTATGGAAAATTAAATCAGAAAGTCCTGAACTATTTTTTTTCTACCGCTTAATAAAGCAATTATTTTTAGATAAATTCCAGCTAATCAACGTCGTCCTTTAGATGGGCACATATCTATGAGCCGCGTATCTGATACTGTGCGTGTTTTTACGTTGCTAACAACGTTAAGAATTCACGGCATTGATAGTCTAAAAGACAGCGATTAACTGGAATTTATTGAAAAATAACTGCTTCATTAAGCATAACAGAAAAAAAATGATTTAGGACTTTATGATTTAATTTTCTACAAGAAATAACGCTATATATTTTGTGGGTAGAGGAAGACTTTGTATATATAATTATAATATATAATTATAATATATAATAACACTTTGTATATATAATTATAATATATGTTATAATTAGTTATAATTAAATATTTTATGTTTTAAACAAAGATTGATTATTATGCTGCAGCTTTCGGAAACTTCTTATCCTCTTTGTATGAGGGTACTTCACAAAGCATTGAGAAAGAATCATCACCTTACTCACGGCGGTAGGATACAGTACGGTTTGTTTCTAAAGGGAATCGGTATCTCTCTGTCCGATGCGATGACCTTTTGGAAAAATGAATTTATACAAATAATGGATGAAACTGCGTTTACAAGAGAGCACATCTATCAAATAAAATTCATGTTCGGCTGGGAAGGTAGTCGGCGGGATTACCAGCCTTACACATGTTCGAGAATCATGGAATCGATTGTTGGACCTAGGGATTATCACGGATGTCCTTTTAAGTACATGCGGCGCGATGTGCTCGAAGATGAACTCGTCGAGTGTGGTTTCGACGCATTGGGTAAATATCAAGCTATTGCTAATTTAAACAATTTTAAACGAATTTTATTCGCTAATTGACTCGTGATCAAGCAGAAAGATCGGCGATAATGAGTCTATCGCTAGACGGCCAATATTTGGCGGCGTGTAACAAGTGCTATGAAATTAAACATAATTGTTTCAACGATGTGCCGTTTAAACATCCGAATATACATTTCAACGAAAGTGTGAAATATCATACCACGAATTGTAATCACGGTGAGATACACTTCCTTATGTTATACGTATTGGATAATTTTAGTCTCGTACGAAAAACTTAACGTTACGTTAAAATGTTAAAGATCTGGACCTGGAAACTGGAGATATGTGTTGATTGTCGTACAAAAGAAGAACATCCGGGGAAATTGGAAATGTTATGACTGTTGAAAAATATATTTGAAGAAATAAATCAAATAAAAAAACAAATAGTGAGTTTTGCACAGATCTCTGTAAATATACATGAATATTTAATGCTCTTTGTAAGTAATTCAGTATTATATAATGTTTCTCGAAACGGATAAGCAAGTATTCAATCAAGTTATGCGAATAACTTAATAACGTGTTAATTAGTTTGTGATTTTTCTTATCGGTGTGATATTTTTTGTTAGTGATACAAAATTGTTGAAACATTATTGGAAAAATGTGTTCGTGTTAAATAAATGATTTTTTAAATATTTTTCAATATTATTTAGTTGAAATATATGCGTTTCAAAACGAATTTCAAAATGTTTCTTTCTGTAAGATGCTAGAGTTTGAGAATGCACACACTTCAATGGTGATTTCTTTATCTTTGCTTTTTAACAAAAAACAGCAGCCTCAAAGAGCACACACAAAAGCAAAAAGTATCTCAAAGAAATACTGCCACGATACAACACAATACAACTTACTGTGTTTCATGATTTTTTATTCTGTAGATTGCTGTGGCGATACGTTAAGTACCGGATGATATATGTATGTACACATTTAAGTGGTAAGGAGTGTAACGAGCAATATTTATGTACAAGTACACCGAATTATAAACACTTAACACTCGCCACACTTTACACATTATTACCTTAGTCAATTCGTAACGTTGTACCGTTGTCTCATTTAAATGCTATCAAGCAAGGCTATGATCGAAGAATACGGATAATTTGGCACAGTTCGTCGTCTTGATGGGAGAAACAGAAATGCAACAAAACGAAAAGAGAAAATAGGAGAGACAGAGAGAGTCCGTTAAACGAATCTTAAAGATAGTTTATCGAGAGTATCGATAACGGAAGAAATGCGGATAAATTTCTCATAAATACATGTTTCTCTACATGATCTAGCAACAATTGCAGCAAATGCAAAACCTCCCTCAACCTGGAAATATTCGATGTTTGACGTTGTTGAAATGATATGTGTGTTGTGGTGTAAAAACATTTCTCTATATCGAGTCGCTCGACAAGATCTCCGCGGTGAATGCAGTGCGTATTGCAAAAATTCAATTGATATCATGTTTGCAACCCGTGTCGAATTTAATATATATAGTTCGATAATATATACCGGCTTCTCGTACATATACATAACAGAGAAACCGCCATGCAATCTCATAAAAGCGGGGTGTATTACAAATTTAACAGCGATGGATGCAGCAATGGATTTATGCAATGCGTATATTACAGTTCTTTTCTCCTTTAACAAAATCAAAATAGTATTTCTTTTTATTATTTTACGTTCGCACATACGGACACATTCACTCTTGTATACATTTTTTTTCGGTTTCGTTCTGAAATCTAGAACTGTACTTCACGTTTACCTAAAAATTCACTCCTCTCGTTCGCACACGCTATTACTTCTATACACACTTACACGCACACACATTCTCTCTCTTTTGCACTCTCTTCTTGTGTGTGTGCGAACCCTTTATATATAGAAATAAAATGTGTTAGTGGGCACATCGATAAAATCATCATTTATAACAAACAGGTCAAATTATAAAGTTTTGTATTTTTTATCATTTACGTATAAATATTGTTAAATATGTATATTAAAAATTTGCTACACATTTCACGATTATTTTACACAGAATTTGTTATTCTATCCCGATAATGACTTAAGTTGGTTAAGTAACTCCCTTTTTTTACCTTCCTTTTTTTTCTTTTGATGGACACGGACTCCTCTAGTATCCGAAGAGCTAACGAGGGATTAATAAAGTGATTCCCAATGTTCCTCCCGTTTCGCACGTCTTGTGTCGACGTGTGAGTAGGGTTTAAAAAAAAAACGGAAGAGACGAAGAGCTAGGATTGACGTCGCCTTTTTACTACGTTGAGAATGAGAGTCACGGTGTCACTGTATAAAAATCTAAACTGACCTTAATGTGTACTAAAAAATATAATTGCTTCTGTTAAGCGAGAGGGGCCGATTATCGGTCGAAGGTTCCAATAAGGGTCAACCTCTGTGCGCTCGGAAATATATACTTTCGTTGACGCCTCCGTGACTCGTTAATTCGGATCGTCAGTCGGACCGAACGCTGCAATTCTCTCGACGTAAACGGACATATTTCGCTGCTACGATGGCGCGCACGCACACACATGGAATATATTACGTTTTCTTTTCTCGTTCTCTTTTCTTTCTAACAATGACTAAATCAATGATATTGCCGATACGATACGACAGGACACTTGCGTATCGTTTTGGTGCATTTCACCACCAGAGAAACGCAAGTTCTTTCTCTCTTTCTTTTTTTCTTTCTTTCTCTCTCTCTCTCTCTCTCTCTCTCTTACTGCCATGTCATAAGATTCCAACGTGCCGTAGGAAGAATAGGAAAAAATAAGATGAAGGTTCTTCATCGCGTGTACATATCGGTTCCGTACGTATTATTCACAATTGATCCAATTCGGATCATTCGATTCAGCGAATGGTAAGTCGACAGACCAATCTCACTTTGAACGGAAATTCCATAGATAGTCGATCGCGATGTGACGCGCACACACTCTCACATACGCATACATACACACGCACGCACATCACCGGTGGTGGTTCGTCGAATGTACGCAAACGCGCGTACATCCCGTTCGCTGTGAGTTCGAGTCCGAATGCTCGTGTCTGAAAAACAATGGCATTCCCACGACGCGCTCGGGCGAGAGAGAAAGACAGAGACCGACCGATGAAAGCCCGGAGTTGTCTGCGTACGACTTCTCTTCTTCAATGTGCTCGTGCGCTCGCGTTTGTAATAAAGTTTCGTGACTGTCTCTCGTGACGGTCTCGCGGAAGAATTCAGACGGATATCTCGTAAACGGCGTACATTCTTTCCTCGTTGGAGCGAGAGACGCGCAAAATCGGCGGCTCTTGTACAATCTCCGTCCAGCCGCAGGATGGTGCGGAGACCGGAAAGCTGGGCTATACGGATATCTCGTAATTCATGTCGTACACGCTCGCCCGGTCCGGCGTCGGCGTCGTCGGGCGCTGCGATCTCGGGTCGTTCGGCGCTGAGACCATCTCCATAGAGTCGGTCATCTCCAGGGCTCGGACGAACGACATTGGCCGGCGTCGCGCGTCCCCCGAGGTCGGCGTGGTCGGCGTCACCATCGTGGCTTTCCGTTTCACCTGCGGCGACTGGTGCGGTTGATGCGGCGGGAAGACTGGCACTCCACCTCTCATAGCAGGGTGATACGGCGCTCTGGGAGCGTTCGCGTACGGCTGCTGAGTTGGGCTGGTGGGATTGGAACGGTAATAGTCATATGGCGGATGTGGCCGTTGCGACGGCGACTGATGCGGCGCACCGCTGACTGTCGCTCCTGTTGTCCCTCCTTCTCTACCTCCACCGGCAGGTGGACCAGGATAGCTGCCAGGTGAATTGTCCTTCCACATGTAGACACCGCGCTGCGGCGAACCGGCTAACTCGCGTATGTTGTCGACTGTGTTATTCGTACGCGAGTACGGGTGGTCGGTGCCCTGTCGTACGAGCTCGCTCTCCGATAGGAAACGCCGCTGTGGACTGTAGCCGGTGACCACCGGGCCAGTAACGCTGATCCCGCCGGTGTTTGTTTGCTGCATTTCGTAATAGGTCGGCGCCTCGTTCACGCCTATGAAATCTGGCCGACGTACCTGCGTCGGTGTGCCCGGGTTCGATCTGTAACAGAGACGGCGGGTCTTAGTGCCGCGGCGTGATGTCGACAAAGCTTTCGATAATCGACAAATGCACAGTACAGTGAACCAAGATGAATTATGCGAGTGCTGAGCATTGTAGCCATACAAATACGGCTCTGGCGAGACATACAGGAGAGAGAGCAGCGCATCATTCCTGTTAAGAAAGTAGCATCTATTCAAGAAACGTAAAAAACAGCGAACCTAAGAAATATGTATACATGTGTGTGGCTGCGTATGTATAAGTCTGTGTCTGTCTGTCTGTTGTATGTGTGTACGTATATGGAACAATATTTACTTTTTTTATACCCACATGTTTTTCTATATATATGTACAAAGATATATGCAAGAAAGCATAATCGTAAAACTACGGTATGTCCTCGTAGGATGAAGTTCGTGTTTACCTGCAGTAGGTTGCAACATGATGGTAGAAAGCAGCTCCTTGCAGTTACCACCCCCTGCAGTGGGACACAAACTTATCTATATACCATATATCTTGTAGTATGTATACATGCAGAGAGACTAAATCCTCTACGATATTATTGTAAGCTACGTTGCGCAATTTTCCTTTCTTTCCTGACACGTTCCTTCGTCATTCGGAAGGTGAGAATAGTGGTGACAGAAGAGGAGGAGAAGAGCAAGAGTAAGGTGTTTAACAGTAAGGGGTAGAGGGCAGGAGATATATATGTATATATCTCTTGACAAAACAGGCCGACATCATATTGAAGGGTAGCAAGAAGGATAATCGTAAGAGGTAATCGTTCACTTTGTATTGGCAGCGTGCTCAAGAGATGCAATGTAACTATTACTAGTGTGGCGCTCCCCTCTTGCTCTCTACATTGAGATAATTTTGTGCAACGTGAAAATCGCGAGAAATGTACATATGTATATATATTTAATATATAGTGAAAAGAGAGTATATATAGTACATCTGAAATTGTATTGGTATATATATGTATATATACCATGTATATATAAAATTATATAAATATAGTGAAAAGTATATATAGTATATCTCTGAAATTGTGTATTGGAATATCAGAATATTTCAACAGCCGACCAGATAAGCACTCGATCAATGTCTATTATCTTTGTATCATATGTAGATGTGTTTATAGTCACAATTAGTTAAAACTTCTCCAGATATACTGAGCTATATGTGTATTCTGTCCTTTTTAAACAATGTGCAAGCGTGATGTACCTTCGTATAGGGCTGGATATGGCAAGCGGAGTAGGGACTCCGATAGCTTTAATGCGTTGCTGCATCGTTGGACTAGCACCACCTTGGCCTTGGCCACGTTGAGACGCTGTGGCTGGCGAACCACTAGTTTCTGGCGATAACGGGTCCGGCGTGTGACTTCGAGATCCATTCATCCCTCTGTAGACAGAACGTAAGCAATGATAGCTTCGTGAAAGAAAGTGTTCAAGTGCATCGGAAATTATTGGTTGATACGTATAAGTACCTTGGCCTTGGATGTGGACTGCCTCTAGGATAATGTATTGGATGACGGTGCTGCGCCGTCGGAGGATGCCTGGGAGACTCGTTGTTCTCCACAGGTGGCAGGAAGAAATTGCTTTTGGAGCCATGTCTTTGCAACGGTGGCGTAGGTTCGCAGTCTGCGGACTGAGACGCCGTCGGTTCCATGTCTGTATCCGATCCGTCTCGTCCGGGAGATAACTACAAAGACGAATTGAGATGTGATCGGTCCCATGAGAGAACAACACATTAAATAAAAAACAAAAATATCTATATATGTTATAATCGTTGTGATACATTACGTATACTTCCTATGCAAATAAGGATCAGTTTGGAATAGGTGGGATATATTCGTGAACCATTGGAAATCAGTAAAGACTTCTTAGGATTCTGGATTGAATGGTACTTATAGACGAGGCGTCGTCACTGTAACTCAGACTCTACAGGTATCGTAAGAAAGACGTGAATGTTTTTGTATTAATTTTTAACAGTAAAACATTCAAACGTAGTATTAAGAAGCCAATACTAAGAAAATAGCATACAACAAGACTACTTGCGAGAAATACACTTACTGGTGTAACAAGAGTAATAACATTGTACCACTTGCTATGCTGTACATGCTTGAAAAACTGCGTGTGAACAAAAAATTGCTTGGCATGTAAGCTGCGATTAAGACTAACCTCTCTAACTGTGCTGATGATTAGAGAAAGAGATAGAGAGATGTAGAGAAAGAGAAGAGCACAAATTATAATAATAATACAAGCTGAAATTTAAGCGCTAAAACCCTGAATGAAAATTGTCCTGTACATGAAGTAAAGAAGACAAGCGAAATTGCACTAGCTCTTACCTTATTGTAAGCATTTGAACTGGCATTTCTAACACCATTGCTGCTATCCATGTAGGTCTTTACCTGGTTCTCACTGCCTATAGTAGATATCTCTGATGCATAAGCTCCACGTCGATTTCCTGAATATTTTTCAGGTTTAATTAGACTGTAACACACACAGTATATTATAACCAAATGAGCTCCATGTGAGAGGATAAATTTCGTAACGGCGTTTTGCAATACCTTGGGTATTGTGGTCCAAATTGTGTGTAACAACAGTTGTGTAGACAGCCACGAGAGAAAGGATTGTAGCCCCCGTTAAATTTGCCTGTTACCTGTTCGTTAGTGGTTCGTCCTCTGGAAACAAGGACCACGTGAAAGCCAGTCAATCCAAGTATTGGAATGAATAAGACCACTACCACTCCCATGAGCACGAACCTATACTAAGGTTAAGGATTTTCTAAAGTAAACGTTAGTTTTGCGATTCTCACGTTACACGTGTTGTGTAACTTTAAAATCCGCGAATATCTTGAAAATTACACTGGTTTACAAAAAATTTATTTTTTGTCACATGGGGTTAAATTATATCAAATTAGGAATTATACTATATAAATATATATATATATATATTTATTTATATATATATATATATATATATATATATAGTATTTTTAATGCTGAATTAAAAAATATGAACAGATATTTTCTGTTACCTAAGGTTTTTCAGTAATTTGATTTTTAACCCTCCATATACACACTGGGGTCCCTGGGACCCCAGCGCAATTCTCGGATTGGTTTTATTGCGTTTCTTTTCTTTTTTAACCCGGATATCTTGGAACTCCTTAATTCTATCGACTTTTATTCATTATAGGCTTGTTTCTTAACCAATTCTCTATAGATTAAAAAACAGTGAATTGAAATATGTTAATTTTTGATAGGGTTACAATAACAAATATGAATGGGTTCCCCGGACCTCAATATGTATAGTACATAGGCAAAATGTGTGTATACAGAGAGTTAAGTTTCAAGAGAAAATTAATTTTTTCTATATGTGTAAGTGGCTTACTTAATTTAAAATAAAGAAACTAGTACTTTTCTGTCCTATTTTGTTCATAGTTTTTTAAAAATAAAAATAACAGTTTTTGTCATATCTTGTGCCTTAAGAATTTGAAAAAAATCGTTTAATAGGAAAAAGATTATTAAATTTAATTTTCCTAGATAAATATATTGAAAAAATTTTTTATGATATTCACTATTAATAGTAAATAAATTAATATAAAAGATTTAGAATTGAATTATGCATGGAATATTTTATATACAATATATCAAACCTCAGATAATGATCACAACAAAAGACTGTGAGTGATGGAGAAATTCAGAGTTCACACTTTCGGATGAATAAAAACACATAAAAAATATCAAAGACTCCATGTGACAAATTACCTGTTGACCAGTGTTATCTCTTGTGTAAAGGATACGCAACAATAGTGTCTACTTCGCTCAAGTGCTCCTTATGGTTCAGCACGAAGTTCAGACAGAGCCCAAATATACTGATCATATGAGTACTGAGGGACAGAAGAAAGAAAAAGAAGAATCTGTAATTTCTTCTACCAATGCAGTTGTTTACCCATGGGCAGTGATGGTCGAATGTCTAAAAAAAAAAAGAACATAAAGCTTATTAAATTAATTTCATTCTTATTGAGTCACAGTTCAATTTTATTAAATCACATTTCAATTGCTTCAGCAAATATCAACAAGTGGAGAGACAAGTCAGACATACCTCGATACAATGATCGCAAACACTGCAATGTGAGCAACGTGGAGGTCGATAGAACTTGCAAGTGACACACCACTTCATACGCACAGTGATGCCATTGATCTCGACGCTCTTGTATAGCGGCGCTCGAAAGTCATCTTCCCGGTCTTCGTCAGGAGGTGCTTTAACAAGAATCAGGTCATTCTACATTTTGTCATTTACAACGTAGTAATTGAGAAACACTGAAGCTCGTATTAATAGTCGTTATTTGAAACTTGCCTCACGTAAGATACCTAGTTTTGAATTTTATATGCAACGATAACGTCTACTGTTTAGAATTTATTATTTAGAAGTGTCTACTATGGATATTTCAAGTTTATTATATTTAAAGTATCTATTATTCAGAATTTAGAGTTATCCGAATTTTTCAATTGAATCATATACATCACAATATATCTATAAATATAGCAATTCAACTGAAAAACTCAGATCTGAGGTACTCAGACCTGAATTTGTAAAGAACACACAACAATAGTATCTACTACTTAGAGTTTACTATTTAAAAGTAAAGAGTCTACTATAGATATTTAAAGTATTTGTTATTTAGATTTTAAAATTACATCTCTCTCTCTCTCTCTCTCTCTCTCTCTCTAAAGTTCTTATATATATATATATATATATATATATATATATATATATATATATATATATATA